GGCCATTTGTGTTCAGATCTGTTTCAAGAATTAGTTCTGACTTTTGGAATGATGAAAGTCAAAACCCAAAGCCAGGCTTGAGTACTCAATTCTTACCCTCGTCTTGCGCTAACTAGCCATGTTTATAATGGTGATCCACTCAATTTCTCTGGGCTGTAGTTTCCCCCTTATGAAATAGGGCAGAGTAGGAGGAATGGGGAGCTGAATCCATGACTCATTCATCTATTCGACAGGCGTGAGCCAGGCCCAATCCGTGTTCCTAGAACTGCAGCTAAGAAGATTGGTAAGATGCAAATGTTGATTCCTTCCAGTGCCAGCATTCTTTTTTAATAACTGCAGTGATGGAGCAGAAACAGGCAAGGGGCATAGTTTAGGTTTCCTTGATTGGAGTGATGAGTAAGAGGCACAGAGGTAACATAGAAGCGTACATTTAATCATGAGGCAATTTCTCTAAGAAACAAACAAGGTAGCAAAACTGCTTGGCACATCCTGAAAAGTGGTGAGCCCTGTCTCATCCCAGACCACAGTTATTGACTGTGCTGGAGTCCTAAGGTCACACCCAACAGCCACCAGTTCATACGTCAATCAAATGGAAATGCTAACAATGAGGACTCTTGAGAAACTTTGAACTTGAGCAAAAGTGAGCAATTTAATAAGGGAAGAAGTCATGGGAGTATAGTTCTGTGACACTCTGATGAGTTCCTTTAATTGCAGAGGAGAGAAAAGGATTTTTGTTCTAGTCAGCCAGTGGTCAGTTTATTTATTTGCCTAATACTTATTAAGGAACTACTGATGCAAAGAGAGACTGTGTGAGGATAGAGACATAATTAAAATCTACTTTGTTTATGATATATAATCATAGGGTAATAATATAGTAATATGGCTAGTAAACAGCATGAACAACGTCACGTAGTTAAAGGAGATTCTGCTGCTTGTATAGTAAAACTTTAGAAAAGCTTTGGAAAAAAACATTCCACTGACTTGTCTATGCTTGTCTTTCTATGCTTATGTTGATTAACTTCACTGTAGTAGATCAGTAACTTCTAACTCATTTCTTGTGTCATAAGTAGAGATCTTTGTAAGTATGTTTTCAAATTATACTTTCAGGTTGCAAGTGGTAAGAACTCCTTAAGGAGTCTTTAATCTCAAGATTATCAGTCTAGCTAAGTATAATATAATTAAAAGACTGCCTTCTCCGTGTACCGCTGATAATGATGAGGATAAATAGTGTAACTTGTTGAATGTTTGATCCAAAGACAACTTTAGTCGCTGATAATAATATTGTAGAGGGATCTGCAAATTTAGTGGACCAGATCTGAGCCAATGCTTCTAGATCTGAGCCAATCAGGTCAACTCAGAGATAATAGCTCAAGACTGTATCTCTCTAGTCTAAAATATTTTGCAGCTTTCAAATATTTCTCAACTTCTCTGCCCTACTGATCATTGTTCCACCAGAAGAAAACTTCATCTTGGAAGCTAATTAGATGCATAATTTAGAAAATTTTAAAAATTTTTATTGGGTTAAACAAAAAGTATGAGTTTTTTCTCCCTAGATGAGTTTCTAGCTTTTAATGATCTAAAGTAGATCTGGCTTTATGTAGCAAGATTTTAGTATTCTGAGGCTTTCTAGGAAGGCGTTTCTCAGTATTATTTCAAACATGAAGCTTAACACAAAAGAGTATTTTTACCTATCATAGTAGAATTTTTAAAGGATAAAGACATGTTCAAATTTAAATTCACTGAACACAGATTGAGTAATCCATGAAGCTTGCCAGGTACTGTTCTTAGTGCTTTGGATGGAAATATGAACAAATATTTGGCCAAGTCATCAAGGAGCTCACAATTACATATTTTAGATCTCTGACTTAAAAGGCTTCCATAAGACGTTAATTTGAAGGATTCATATGGTTCCAGCTTAAAACTGTGCAGTTTAGATTCTGTCTGCACATAAAACCCTCATAACTTGTAATACAACACTTGCTTACTTTGATCTGTAATTCACCATTACATATGCCCAACTAGTGAGTTTTCATGCTGTTATGATTCTCAGCCTTTTTTTTTTGTATTTTTACATTTCCCCCCCGCATATCACTATAGTTAAGAACTCATCCAGACGTCTCCAGTGATGCGAGATGAGATTTTGTGACATTTCCTAAGTCAGTGGATACCAGGATGTAAATGAAAAAGAAAATTGCTTCACAGAATAACACTATTGCTTTGTCAGATTTTTCCAAACAAAACATGATCCCCTTGCTCTATATGGTTTACATGATTCCTGAGTATAGGTTTTTTCCCCCTGGGTTTTTTTCCCCCATTTTCTCCATAATTTTTTGTGCGTTATGAAAATGATACATTGTTCTATAAAGAAATAAAACACACTAGGGTTTGTAGCACACAGAACAAAGTATGTCCCTTCCCCCTTAGAAATTTTGTAAAAGTAGTGGAACGAGTAAAATGGGGCATGAATTAAATGTGCTTTCTTTGAGAACTGAAAGGGGGACAAACTTAGAGATGAAGACAGTGAAAGTGAGATAATTCCAGACGAGTGCAGGTGGAGCCTTGGAGTGGTTGATCCATGTACGCTCTCTGCCTGGGTGGTTTTATACAAGCCTGACTCAGGAGATTGAGGCCCAGCAGACTCCTCGTGAAGAGTACCTTGTGATCCAAGTGCTTAGACCTGCTGGGCTGGTGGCCTGCTGTTTTCACATGAAGCACAGATCAGAATGATTATAGAAGCTGGGTCTGGTTTGGGGCCCTACAACTCGAACAAAGTAGAAAACTTCGAGATCAGAGAAAGCAACCACAGTGGTGAATAAAGGGTTGGAAAACTGAGCTTAATGGACAAACAAAGCAAAAGGTGGTTGAGAGATGTAAGAGGCTATACATACTTGAAGGGCTATCATATGAAGACAGAGGGTAAAAATCTTGTCATCTCTTCTTTAAGACCCTCCAGTGACTTCTGATCACACTTAGAATTAACTCCAAACCCCTTCCCCTAACTTGCAAAGTCTTACATGATAAATACCTTCTGCCTACCTTGCTAACCCCACCTCATTTTACTTTTACGTCCTACCATCCTCCAGTAGTGACTAGCTTTGCCAGTTTGTCCAGGATTGAAGACCTTCTCAGGAGTCAGGACTTGTAGCTTTAAAACTGAGAGAGTCCTCGGCAAACGGACAGGTGGTCACCCTGTCCTCCACGTGGATCACTGTGACTTTCAGTATCTCCTCTTCCAGTGTTCCTTTGCCTGAAATGCTTTCCTTCTAAGTGGAACTTAGGACCAAATCTGAAATCTGTGTTATGTATAAGAGCTTAGTTACTTTTTATTTTCCTTCTAAGTAATGACTGTCTTTGCAAAAACTGTTGGTAAACCGAAAGGAAGGACACACCATAACTGTGGAGTCCTTAGTATTTTCCTCTTCATGCCACAGTATGGTTTGTGATTCCAAGGAAGAAGTTTCACAAACCCATGGTCCGTGAAGCCTGTGTTTTGATTCAGGAGTTCTTGTACCACCCTGGAATCTTACAAGAAGTGTGTGGGTAGGGTGCACACTTGCGCACACACATTTATAGGGAAGTAGATCTATGAGGGGAGCATGGAAGTGCCTATGATTTGATTTTAATTGAATCAAGTGAAACTTTATCTTGGCTTCCAAAATATCTCTCGAATGCAGTTAACAAAATGCCTTTGATACTTTCAGAAAGTGGTTACTATGATTTTATCATAGATTGCCTGGTTATGGCAAGGATGGAAAAATTAACAATTTAAAATTGATGTTTTAGAAATCTTTAGTCTTAATTATGATTTGTAGCCTAGGTTCTCAACCCTGAATAGACCCTGAGCCTAGGTCTAAAGTAGAGAGTGAGATACAAAACCTTTCCATGATGTCAGCCACTTTTTTTTTTTTTTGCGGTACGCAGGCCTCTCACTGTTGTGGCCTCTCCCGTTGCGGGGCACAGTCTCCGGACGCGCAGGCTCAGCGGCCATGGCTCACGGGCCCAGCCGCTCCGCGGCATGTGGGATCTTCCC